GCTTCAGGTAGCAGCTTGCTGGTGTTGTCCTAGCTGAAAATTTGCACCTCTCCCAGTCCTACAAACCCGTTGCAAGTTTTGCTTGTGGTTGGGAGGGAATGGTTGCCAAAATGGGGCCTCAATCTCCACCAATGTCAGTGCGGCGCTGAAGGTGCTCATTACTACGGCAATGCGTATGCAAAAGGTATGCCTCACTGAGTTAAGCAATAGCGGCACAAGTCAGTGTCAGCTCATAGCGCGTATCGACCGCATAGTTCCTAGACGATCTGTTCGACAAGACGCGGTATCTACCGTACGCCAGACGCAAAAGGGTAGTTTCATACCCAGCAGTTCGGTGATTGGATGCCAAGTCGTTCACTGGCAGTATGAACAACCAATCACACGCAACCCATGTTATTAACGTCACGAGGTGAGCACAACGGCGCGGGTAGGACCGCTGGACGCGAACATCGGCGACTTCCCACAGCCACGGTTCGGCTGGCAGCTGCGGGGGCTTGATGTGCGTGTGCGCACATACGTCATCCTCGCTCCATCAACGCCCCCCCCCTCCCCCCCCCGCCCCTCCAACCCGTACATCCCGGCGCCCTTCGTCAAAGTTGGTGCGCTGCTGCGTGTTCTGCATCAAGAGGCGTCAACGCTGTTCTTGGCTAGCAGCCAACTCTGTAGGGAAAACCGAACGCGCATGCGCCTTCCAACGCTGGAGGCCATCCGAACGCTGTAGGGCCAACTGAACGAAACATATCATGACGCATATCATGTATCGTGTTGCTGTGCCGCGTGCGCGTTTACTGTGCTCCTCAATGTCATCGGGCTGCTGTAGGGACAGCGACGTGCTGCTGCTGAGGCAGCGGTCGCTGGCGGGCTTCTCCGCGTCGCCGGCGTCGCCAGCCTTTCGAACATATCACCGGGAACGCAGGCCGTGCCGGGTCATTGCCCCGGCTGCCACGCCGTTCCAGCGAGCCGTCGGGCTGTTGTTGCGGCAGTGCCGCCGCCGCCGTGACCGCGGCGGCTGGTGGGGAGGTGAGGTGCGTACCGACGGGACTTTCCAACGGGAGCGGCGCGTCCCGGAAGACGGCGGGGGTTGTGATGACGTCTAGGGCCGGCTCTGCAGGCGTGCGTAGGCGACGTATTGTGGCGGTCGTTAGCAGTTTTGTCAGGAGCTGGGTGTTAAAACAGTGCTATCATGTTGGTGTTGGCTATTCGCTGGTTATTGTGATTTGGTGTTACACGTGTTTTTCAAAGGGTTTATCGTAGAGAAACTTAGTCCGTTCTCAATCCGTTGAACGAGACAAGGAAGCATATTATCTCCACATATTCTATTATTCCCACGCGCTTAAAAGACAACATGCCGGATTACATTGTAATTGTAAGTACTTCAAATTTGAGATTTTCCTTTCGATCATATATGAATCGTTAAACGGATAAGATGTAACAGTCTCAGAATATCACGAAAGCGTAAAGGCGCCAAAACTTGATGAGCTGTCATCTCGCAAGAGCGATATCAAATCTATGGCTGTCCGCAAGCCACCTTGAATCTTTTCAGATACCAGACACCCAAGCTAACAAAACACGATGAACCATTATTTCACCGTCACAGATAAACATCGCAAGACAAAATTTATATTTCACGTGGCTGTTCAAAAGTTTGTCGAGCCTATCGGACTCAAAGCGTGCAATCAAACTCCTAACACGGCAAACTACCGACAAGGAACCAAAAAATACAATCACACCAACTCACCACATATCAAGCACGATAATGGCAATCATCGACTCCAAGTGAAGAGCAGGAAGTGTAGCAGCCTGCCTGCCACGTGGCGAGCAGGCTGAGCCAAGCGGGCACTGCAGTCAGAGACCCTTGTCACAAGAACCACGCCGTGTAGAAACATTCGCTGATTGTGTAGTCCAATGTAGAGCCTAGCATTTAGTACGTGTCCGCCTTTTAGCGTTGGGTAACGCGCATGTGTTTGCGCAGGCCCAGCTGTTGTCGTTGAGCGAAATAAAATGTTTTGTAGAAGATTGCTGACGCGTTGCTGTCGCAGGCAGGATTTGAAGTCAGCAAGGGCTGACGGCCAAGCAGTTACGGTAAAGGGAAATAATTTTATGTTGAGAAATCGCAAGTGTATTGCAATTGGGTTGGCTGATTTTGTTGCTTCTGGTTAGTTGCTAAATAATAATTATTGGATGTCCAATATTGCGATAACCGTTGATAATCACTGAATGGCTGATCATTAGTTTTTAACAATCTCAATCGTTCAGTCATTTGCTTGGTCTTGAGCAAGCCCATTGCTCAATAATTCGTTTCGTCTTGAGCAAGCCCAACTATTCAATAGTTTGGCGGATGAGGGAAATGCAAGCCAGCGGAGGAGTGCTCGCCGCGTAACCGAGAGTTCATCGGTTCGAGATGGCACGCCGGCCGTGTTTCTGTTTGCCCATGCGCGTGCTGCTTGATGCTGAGACGTAAATAAAGACGCCACATTCGCCACGCAGTCATCAAAAAATCCCCACATGGCCGGCTTGATACGAAGCCACAGGGGTGACTATCGCTTATCCAGTGCTCCGCGTTCATCTGTGGCATTTTCTTGGCAAAAACGCTCTAACCAGAAAAAAAAGTGACAGAAGGAAAGAAAAGCGCAAGACGCACATCGAAGAAGAAAGTCCTCCATGTAAACACCCGAACTGAGCCTCGTTAAGAATCAGCGGCAAGTGATAATAATTGTCCACTACCCTTCATGCAACAGCTCTGTTGTGCGGATACAGATATAACATGCAGGTACAGCAGCTCCGCTGCGCAGATACGGACACGGAAGGTGGATACATAAGCTCTGCTGTGATATCGTGCAGACGGCTTCCATTGCGGGTCATGCTTTCTTCGTGATCTGTTCCCTTCACGACACGCCTGTCTTTTTTTATTCAACAGTCTTTTCCTTGCAATCGTAAATATATTCGACTCACGCAACACTAAGTCTGCTCTATACCACGTTCCATGAAAGACAACAGCCTTTTATAAATTACGACACTTCAGCTACGACCACATAATTCGCATGCGCTGCAAGAAAGACTTCGCGGGGCTTTGCCGACTCAAGATGCTTTAAGTTAAAACGCAGCTCGCGAAATCTGTACACCCTGTCTGGATCCACAAGACAGACTCCACCAGTTTTATGAAGCTGCATGAACCCAACAGCAATTCAACCACATCACATAAATACAGATTAAGTCCACCTTAAGCCGTCCCAAAATTGTTAGAAAAAACAAATGTGTTGAAACCAGAACAGACGTGTTTGCTGCAATCCTCATATCAGAGGACTGCGTGAAAAATGTTGGTCGAAATTCTCGAACAATACGTCGTAAACAGCAAGTAAACAACAGGCGTTTGAGAACAAAATCTCCTGCTTCTCTTTCTCGTCTATCGTCGCTGACATGACGGAGACACTGTAGACGTCGCTTCTCGCCAGGCAAAGGAGATATTGACAAACTTTTACATGCTGTAATGCTGTTTTTTCTTTGCTTGGGCTGTTCCAAAACAGCATTCCACGAGCATATCGTTCTGCAATAGAAAAACCTCCCTTACGTAACCTTTACACTGTCGTGGCAGATCACGACGTCTTCTCACTGGGCGGCGGTTGATGGAAGACGCTATCCGCCGGTGCTGCCACCTTTCAGCGGCGTTTCCTCGTGCTGCCATCTGTTGATGATCTTGCTCACCAGCCTGGCTTGAGACCCGTCTCGAGCGCGCTCTGGATGGTGTTTGGGACGTTCCAGGGCATGATGAAGCCGCCGTCGCCGGGCTCTCCCATGCCTGGGTCCCGATAGTTGGGACCATAGCCTGAGGGCTTGGCAGAGCCGCCTGCGGGTAACAGCCGTCAACTATGAAACTGTCTCGCAGCACGTTCTCATGCGACCACGGTCTCCCGAAGGATGAGCTGTCCCCGGTATTGTCCCTTCAATGCCTTTCAGTCATTGAATGGTATGGCATGGACTAGAGGGCTTGGCCATTTAGCAGCTCGTATGTAGGTCAAGTCGAATAACCAACAGATTTCAAGGAAGACACGAAGCGAAACAAGGGGCACGTCGCTCCAGCTCCAACACGGGGTGTTTGCTGTGCTGGCTCGGAAGACACCCGGAATTCCTCCGGCGCTCTTACCAGCGGGCTTGGCAGGCTGTGGTGGAGGCTGGTAGGTAGGCGCAGGCACAGGCTGATAGGACGGCTGTGGAGCTGGAGCGGCAGGCTGACTGTAGCCCTGAGCTGGCTGAGGCTGGGGAGCAGGAGCGGGAGCTCCGTACTGAGGTTGAGGCTTAGGAGCGGGAGCAGGAGCCCCGTACTGGGGTTGAGGCTTAGGAGCAGGAGCAGGAGCGGGAGCTCCGTACTGAGGTTGAGGCTTAGGAGCAGGAGCAGGAGCTCCGTACTGAGGTTGAGGCTTAGGAGCAGGAGCAGGGGCGGGAACTCCGTACTGAGGTTGAGGTTTAGGAGCAGGAGCAGGAGCTCCGTACTGAGGTTGAGGCTTGGGTGCAGGAGCAGGAGCTCCGTACTGAGGTTGAGGCTTAGGGGCAGGAGCAGGAGCTCCGTACTGAGGTTGAGGCTTAGGAGCAGGCGCAGGGGCAGGAGCTCCGTACTGAGGCTGAGGGGCAGGAGCGGGAGCAGGAGCCCCGTACTGAGATTGAGGCCTAGGAGCAGGAGCAGGAGCTCCGTATTGAGGTTGAGGCTTAGGAGCAGAAGCAGGAGCTCCGTACTGAGGTTGAGGCTTAGGAGCAGGAGCAGGAGCAGGGGCCCCGTACTGAGGTTGAGGCTTAGGGGCAGGAGCTGAAGACCCGTACTGAGGCTGAGGAGCAGGGGCAGGAGACCCGTACTGGGATTGGGGCTTAGGAGCAGGAGCTGGAGCTCCGTACTGGGGCTGAGGCTTGGGAGCAGGAGCAGGGGCCCCATATTGCGGCTGAGGCTTAGGAGCAGGAGCAGGAGCTGGAGCCCCGTACTGAGGTTGAGGCTTGGGAGCAGGAGCAGGCGCCCCGTACTGAGGCTGAGGCTTGGGAGCAGGAGCAGGGGCCCCATACTGAGGCTGAGGCTTGGGAGCAGGAGCTGGGGCTCCATACTGAGGCTGGGGAGGTGACGTTCTCTGCCCATAACTGGGCTGGTCATTCGCAGCCGCTGATGATGCTGCTGAACCTTGGTATGAAGGCTGAGCAGCCGGGGCTGGGGCGGCGCCGTATGATGGGGCAGGGGCCGGGGCGGCGCCGTATGACGGGGCAGGGGCCGGGGCCGGAGCGGCGCCGTATGACGGGGCAGGGGCCGGGGCAGGGGCAGGACTGTATGACGGCGACGGGGGGGGGGGCCGGAGACTGGGCAGCTCCATACGACGGCGAGGGCGCGGGGGCAGGGGCCGGGCCGTACGACGGCGAGGGCGCAGGCGCCGGCTTGGCTACGCTGTACTGCCTCGGTGGACCATACTGCCTCTTGGGCCGCTCTGAAATCAGGGCCAGCGTCAAGGTGGAGCAAAACTGGCCGATTATTAGCTGTGCAGCCCAGTTCTCTCACGGGTGATATGTAGTCCAGTGTAAAGCCAACGCGTCCTTCGTCTTAGCCTAAGTTAAGGTCGCAAAACAGAACGCCATTTCACGATTCTACCCCTCAGAATGCAAATGTAGTCGGCCACTACGGGGCCGTCTTTGCTACCACGGCAGTAAATACGCCACAGCATCATTCCTCATTCTTATCGGATCATCCAGGCGCGGGTGCTGAAACGACTTCAAAAGTTATGTAACAGCAAGATGGCGGCTGGCGCGGCGTAGTATAAATGTTCGTGGTGCTAAAGCGGCGGTCTTAATCACAATGACATCAAGCGGCGCAACTCGTCAGAAGATGGCGCCAGCACCGTTAATACAAATGGCATGACTCAGACCAGGGTAAATAAGGCATCTTCTGCCGTTGGTACTAATATGGTCCACAAGACAGTATCGTCTGCCATGTGGTCTATGGTCGAACCAAGATTCACAGAGCCCCACGTAGCCGCCATAACGTTGTCCATGAAACTTCCAGGATCGGTTATCTTTCTATGACAGAAGAACACGATAAAAATGTTTTTTGTGATCAGTGGGTACCAAAAAAGCATTGAGAGCACGGGAAAAGTACGGGAAACGCAAGAGTAATGCGGCGTCATAGATATTGGCTATTCAAAGGACATGCAAAGTGCTTAATGGCAAGCCTCTGCGAGACACTATATTAAAAGCTGTCGAATCAAGCCTATCTATTCTCATGAATCTCGAGTGACCTGCCGTTGATCTTGCACTTGGGTAAGTTCGTAAAATTCCTCCTAATATACAGAGCATCTTTCACAGGTCTCCAAATGTTTCCACGCACGTGTCACACGACGGAGCGGCTCATTCTGTGCCGTCGGAAAGCTTGTAAAGATATATTTGAGGACCCCGAGAGAGAGAGAGAGGATAGAGAGATGAGACGAGAGGAGAGGAGAAGAGGAGGAGAGAGATGAGGAGAGGAGAGAGAGAGAGAGAGAGAGGAGAGAGAAGATGGGAGAGAGGAGAGAGAGAGAGAGCGAGAGACGGGAGAGAGAGAGATGAGAGGAGAGACGAGAGAAGAGAGAGAGAGAGAGAGGAGAAGAGAGGAAGAGAATGAGAGAGAAAGAGAGAGAGTGCAGTGATGAAAATTTATTCATCACTGTGACCAAAAATCGGCATTAATTTCATTTCGAAACCGGTTCAAAACATCGGATTACCTTGGGTGAGGCGTCCACCCATTGATTCCCGAAGGAACCCGGTAAATCACTTGCCAAAAGCCTCTATGGGAAAGTAGCACCGCGACCCGTGCATTATCTGGCCATGACGTTTCGCGGTATTTCGGCCGATCTCCGGCGTCGTGCAGCACAATTCGCCAGGCAGTGGTCTTAAGTGAACGGCATAATTTGGGCCCTTACCTTCCCCCTATACTGGTGTTGTGCAAAATTGTCGGATGGAGAAGGGGTTTTATCAGAAAAATCCCCCGAAAACCGAGAATAACGCGCCGCCATCGCGCCAAGACTCCTGCGCATAGTAAACCAGCATCACACGTTCTCCATATTCCAAGTTGTACGTGTCTACACGAAGTTTTTAACTGGCAATATGTCGTCAAGTACATATCAAAGCATGCCATTTGATGCCGGGGACGGGGACGTACCTCCGGGATTTCGTGTGAGTGCACCCCTGGCCCCATGCCTCCATCGCCCGCTCAGGGTGCACCGTCTCGTCTCGGGTCCGCGCGAGCCCACAGCCGGCCACCTCATTACCACCCCATCGCTGGCATCACCCCAGCCGGCTGCGCCAGCCGACAGATGGCTGCCCGCGCGTGCCGAGCGTGACCTGGGCGGTGTTGACCTCGCTTTCGCGCGGTGCTGGCGGAGCGATGAGGTGCGATGCCTTCCGGAGGCTCTGCCGGCTTCTGCTGCCGGCGGACAGGCGCGTTGCGCCTTGTCGCGCCCCGGTGTTTGCAAGCCCCGAACAGACAGCTTCGACTGGAAGTGGGCTCAATTCCTCCAAAAAAAACAGCCCACTTCCGCTGCATAGGAGAAAGTGGGTTCGGCGACGCGAGAGGTCACTGCTGCTGCTCCAGAGAATAGCAGTATGCACGAATTGTGCAGGCAAAGAATGACCGGCGTGAGTGTAACTAGCACGTGATCACAATCTACACCACGAGCAAAACGCTGGTGGTGGGCTCGCGGCGCGTCTGCGTACAATACCGTACTCCTCCTCAGCTCAGCAAACCTGCCACCGCCCCTGCCAATGTATCCAGTCCCCGCGGAAGCGCGTCTTCTCTGTGTCCAACTCTGCAGAGCTGAGGCGAGAGAATGTGGGCAAATTTGGAGGAGGGGGGAGGGGGGGGGGGGTGGGCAGGACCGTTGTTTTGTTTCTCCACTTGCTATGACACATGGATAACGCCACATTCTGCCGAAGTTGTGCGTTAACTGCCTCTCCCTTGTTCCTGATCTACCCCCTGATCAATCTCCTTGACTCGCCTCCCTGATCCACCTCCCTGATCCACCTTCCTTATCCGGCTCTTTGATCCACATCTTGATCCACGATATAATCCACCTCTCCTGATCCACCTCCCTGATCCACACTCAGATCCACAACCTCATCTGCCCTCCCTGATCCACCTCCCTGATCCCCTTCCCTGATCCACACCCTGATCCACCCCCGACCCACCTCTCTGATACACACCCTGATGCGCCTGCCTCGGTCGAGCCTGCGTTCTAATATTCAGCCGTGCCCGGCCTCGCCTCCCAGCACGTGTTTTCTCCTCGCGCTGCACCGTCGCCCGCCCGTTGCGGCCGCGGGCCGGTAATCCCACCACCTGGCCGTCTCGTGGGCGGCTCGCGGCCGACTACGACCGATCGCGGCCGCCACAGCACCGCCGAGAGGCCGCAGCGAGCTGTTGTGGTCACCTGAGCCGGCGGCACAGCCGGTGCGGGCCGCAGCCAAACAGCTTGTCGAGGCTGCTTCGGCAGAGGGGGAGAGGGAGGGGTGGAGGCCGGGCGGTTCCGGGGAGAGCTTCAGGGGGGCGGTACCAAAGCTGCAGCACCTTCTAACTCATCAGCGGCATGTGCTTCGCTAGATGCGACGACACGGAAGGGCTCGACTTGTGACATGCTGACAGCACGAGCGCCTGCGGCTGTAGAGCGAAACACTTTCTTCTCTACACAAAAACATCGGGGCGTTGAGAGTGTGACGCGTGCCGGGCAGGCTGGCCATTTGGGTGTTTGTCGACCGGCTCAGTGCATCACGAACAGCCGGTGTCACGCCGGGTCGTTCGTGGGCGGGCGGATGCGTCCGCCCCACACGTGTCACGCTGCGGTCGGACGGGTCACCAGCCGCCCGGACACGAACGCTGCGTGACGTGGGTGACGGGCGTGACCGACATAGACCATAGGGATTGTGAAGGGGCGTTGGGATGGGAGAAGGTAAATGGAACCGTGCGATGCGTTGGACAAGGGGGTGGTGGGGGGGGGGGGATGAAAGGAGCAGGGGGATTGAGAAGCGGGTGTTGAGGGATGAAGGGAACAGGGGGATGGGGAACCGGGTGTTTAGGGGTTGAAGGGTGCAGGGGGTAGGGAAGGGGTGATGGGAGAGGTGGTGCGAGGGGAGCAAGTGGTGGGGAACGAGGTGTTGTGCAGAGGGTGAGAAAGCTAGGGTATGGGAAGGGGATGTTTACGGCTGAACCGCGCGCAAGCAGAGTCTGCCAGTCGGCTCAGCTCGAGATCAGATCATTTTTCGATCACGCACAAGACACCGAACGAAAATCAGCCTTTTGTGATGGGCGACGGCGAAAGAGCGACACAAAAGTAGTTAAGTCATCCTTTTTAAAAGCCGATTTTTTCGGTGCGTGCCAGTGGCTTGGTCTTACATTTTCACGGAGAGTGTGAGCTTGAGTTCCACTTGTTAACCCATGTTCTTCCCAGACCTATGGCAGGCGATGCATCGGTGATTTAAGACACACCGAAACGTCAGCAACGTTCCGCGGAAATTCACTGACATCATTAGAAGACGTCCAGCGCGCCAGGTACGGAAGAGACAGCGGCGTCTACGCAAACGACAAGCAAGTGTGAGGGCCGCTCCAGGCGCTTTTTGCAGGGCCAAAGTCGAAGATGGTAAAAATGGCCGCAGATATTCTGCGCAAAGTCCTCTACTGGTTTCTACTGAAGTCTGTTCTACTGAACATACAAGCGCGCGTCAGGCACGGGAGTGGATGGACTAGCGTCCATCATAAACCGTTGGGGTATGTTCATGGGTGGAACTTTCGATCTTGCCGTATGTCTCACCTTTCCCCCTCATCAGATTTTTGTTTCGCGTCCTTCAATATCTGACTTAGATCACCAAAGAGTCGACAATAATGCTAAAGACACCAGACCTCTACGCACCTGTTTCTCCTTCGCCTCACTAACATGAATCTTAATGATGGTCCACGAATTGCTTGGGTTTAGAAACGGCGCGTAAGACTGATGGGTTCATCGCTAACTCTGGAAAAAACGAAATGAGCTGACATAACTTACGAGCGCACGTCAAACCTCGCCTGGAACTAATACCCTGCTCAGCCGTCGACACCGTTCATTCGACAGTTTCCCGATGGCTGCACTCACCGGTAGTCCGTAGAGAAGTGAGCATTGTCTTACGTCACAAGGGGTCCACACTCGTGAGCATGGTCTTACGTCACAAGGGGTCGACACTCGGAGATTAACGGGCGGGCGGGTTCACGGCACGATTCTTCCATCCAACGCGCATCGCATAGCGCGCCGACCGTCACGCCACGTTTAGCGCACTGCGCACGCTCGGACGAAGGGTCCGGTTTCCGAAGGGTCCGCCAGCGAGCTCAAGCCGTCGTGGTCTGCTGAGCAATATTTGGCAACGTTTACCGCCGCTGCTGCTCGTCCGTTCCGGTCGACTGACCACCGACGGCTGTCCGACGCGCTGGATGACCCAGCGGCCGCTAAGTGGAAAGCGAGGCGCCAGAGGATGCCACCAGTGTCCGGGTGGATCCTCCGATGCCAGGGCGGGCGTGAGCGTGATAAGAGGGTGGTCGTTCACGCGTCGTCCATCGCTCGGAGCGGGAGCCCGCGCAGCGAAAGCGAAAGTGGCGCCGCGTGCGCCGATCGTGCGGCGAAAATTGGCGCATGATTCGCCTCGATTAGCGCGTCGAGTCGCGAGGGTGTGTGTGCGTTGTTCGGGCAGAATGGCTGTCGCCGGTAGTGATTGGAAAACGATTTGGCGACAGTTTAGAAACCGTGGTCCTTCAGACGCGTCAGGTGCCGAGGGAGACAACGAATGCGAAACTTGCGTACGGCTTGATCGCCGCTGAATAGCTACAGACAAAGCTGCGCACTCAGCAAGTTGGCTCGATGGTGTCCTAGCTTTTTAATCGTGGAGGATTGTGGTAGAATCATTCTACATATTCCCAACAAGCCCCTACCTTTTTTACTTTTCCATGCGTCGCCACGATGCCAAGTCAAACCTACAGCAAAAAAAAACAAAAAACAAAGACAAACAATAGTCAGCAATAAGCGCGGGGCAAAGCTAGCCGAGATTTGGCTCAATAAGTCGTCTTGCACTGCATGAGAGAACATTCGCCTGCCTCTCCACGTTTCCCTAAAGAGAGCAAATAGTTTGCCGAGCGCAAAGATAAACTGTGCTTGAATTATACGCTGTCTTGGAAATGAATGTGAATAAGAGCAAAACTTTGTTGTTCAGTCTGTGAACCACGAAAAGCACGCGCGTGCATTCATGTGTAAAAGCTGGCTGATTGCGTTCGTTCTGCGAGTTTTGATACAGTTTACCACTAAGTTGACGTTGGTGGTTTTCTCTCAACGTGTGACCAAAATAAAGGCACAAACTGGCTAGGAAACTGAATAAGATTACATTACTTATCAAACAGCAATATTTGCTACGGAGATGATAGCGCGAGAATACACGCCAGCCATACTGTGTGAGAGTCAAAAGCATTGGCTTTTGTTTCCTCGGTAACGCTGCACGCTCTGATGTAGACACAGCGTTCGGCGTACGATCTATGCGGACTGATAACACATACGGTTGGTTCTTAATTATTGGAACATAAACTTTAAATCACCAAATTCCTGTTATCAAACCGAGCGGAGCAAGAACTTAAGAACATTCCCGTTTCGTTTTCAGCTCCTATCCAGAAGCACCACCTCTGCCAGCATACAATTCTTTCGAATACCGACTGGGGCATACAAGGTATTTGCATGAGTGACCAGCACCATGAACCGCACAGTGATTGAGGGACGGGTGGCGGCGCCTGGTATAAGCAAATCATTCTCACACACTTTAGCTCGTAAACCTTCTGTGAGAAACATGTCAGCGTGCCGACCGTTTCGCGGATACCTGCGTTTCGTGAGAAATGCCGTCTGAGTTCCCTATGCAGTACAGCTGTTAGTTCTGGTGCGTAGCACAAAACGCTGCGAACGTTACGCGCAACTGCTTTGGTGATTCGGCACTTCTTACTCATAAAACACGCCTGGGCGAAACCAGCCGGTCTTTCCCTCCTCCGCCGCGAGTTCGAGAAACCGAGACAACGGGTGAAAACCATTTCCATTCATGATGAACAGATGCGACCTGCCGCTTGGGAAAACCCAGAACAACTTCTCACACACATGTTATTCTCCAGTGTGCTCCTGGCAATGCATTCGTGGCGAGCCTGCAGCCTGC